GAAGTTTGACTGTTAATTAAGTTTGAATAAAAAATAATTTTTGTTTTAATTTTTTTATTGATACCTATAATATCTTTATGTTATGCCGTTGTAGTATAAAGTTTATAATTTATATAATTTACAATTACATCTCATGTACCAAACAATAGAAAAAAAAATTTGAGATGAATGCAAATTGTAAGTATAATGTAGGTATATGCAAAATATTTTCGCCGCCCCCCCCCTTGTGGCTTCTCAAGAACCGCTCCTGGATGACCGGTCAATATATCGTCAACATACGTTTGTGTAGACAAGATGTTTGACGCACACGGATATCGGTGACCATCTGTCTCTTCCAATGAATGTAACACTCGAATGGCTTGGTAAGGTGACGATGTGACACCGTAGGTCACTGTAGTTAATTCATAATCTTGCAGGGGATCGGACACAGCATTACGCCAAACGATATGTTGGTATTGGCAGTCATCAGGATGTATCTTGATTTGCCGATACATCTTACAGATATCGGCCGTAAACATATACTTATGAAGTCGACATCGATGTAATAAATCTGAAATATCGTTCTGCAATTTTGGGCCCACATGTAGCATATCATTCAACGATTTTCCAGTGGAGGATACCGCCGACGCGTCGAATACTACTCTTAACTTAATAGTCTTGTCACTTCGTTTAATCACTGCATGATGTGGAATATGATACTTGCCCGGTCTCGACGCGAGTTGCATATGTCCCAGATCTTCATACTCCCGCATAAAGGCCCGGTATTGTTCATACACTTCCGGGTCTTTGATAAATTTACGCTCAAGGTTTAAAAAACGTGCGACGGCCATGTCTCGTGACACCCCAAGTAACGAAGAATTGTGTTTAAATGGCAGCGATAACGTAAACCGACCGGTAGCATCTCGAGTCGTAGTGCGACAGAAAAATTCTTCGCATTTTTGGTCACCCGTAAAAAACTTATTCGTGGGTATTGGTTCTTCGATTTCCCAAAATGTACGTAAAAGATTATCAATCGTCACTTCTGAGGTTAGCATTAGGGTCACCTTCGGTGATTTATCTTTATCCACTGATGAACCTAAAATAATCCAACCTAACGTGGTTTCTAACGCAGATGGTAGTCCAGGGATATGTAGTGCACGTGATGACGGCCCTAATATCTGTGGATAGACGTCGGCACCCAATAGGAAATCAATCGGTCCGGGAATGTCAAACTGCGGGTCAGCCAATAACACGTGACTATATGAAGAACGGATAGAGTTGGGTAGCGGCATGTTCGGCATAAGGCCAATAATTTTTGATAAAATTATAGGTTCACAAAATATTTTTGACTCGTTAGTAATGGAATGGACTATGGACGCTATGGTACAATCCACCACACCCTTCGTCGTTGCTACGCGAGTTTGTGATAATCCTGTTACAGAGGTTGTGCAATGGCGACGTTTGAGCCCCAGTCGAGACACACACTAATTTGTTATGATTGAAACTTGTGAACCCGGATCCACTAATACTCGAATGGGTGTCCATTCTCCGGCACTATTTCGTATACGGACTATCGCGGTACCGAGTACCACATTAGCCGCACAGCGTGAGGTGCCAACAAATTGAGAGTTGTCGACACCCGACGACGAAGATGGAGTGGAACTTTCGGAAGACGATTCTTCGGCGTTATGATTACGGGAAGAACGTGCCGACGTTTTGAATTCGAGATGTAGCAACGAATTATGTTTCAACGAACAATGTCGACACGTGTGAGTAGATTTACAATCCGATGTTTTATGTAACGAACTTAAACAGTTCATACATAATTTATTTGATCTTGCAAACTTAAATCTTTGTTTCACCGGACGCTGCGTAAATTTAGGACATTGATATAAATTATGGTTCGATTTGCAAACGATGCAAGTGGTGTTGTCAGAACTCGATGCGGTAACAAAAGAAGATTTAGCTTTATATTGTTTCTCATTGAATCTAGGTGCAGAAACACATGACGAAGACGAATTTTGTAAAACATTACAACGTATTTTTACAAAATCTAATAACATGTCTAACGTCGGTACAGCAACATCGTGATATTCAGATTCAAATAACCGCTTTGTGTTCGAGTCTAATGTACGAGATGCGATGTAGAATAATACAAAACCAGATAAATCGTTCACTTCTAGAGCCTTTATTGCAGCAAAATTCTCCTGGAACGTAGTCACAAATTGTTTTAAATTGGACAACGTCGCAGTGTTTATTAGAGTTAAGTGGAACATACTATCTAAATGTGCGTTTAGGAGTAATCGTTTGTTATCATAACGTTCAAGTAACGCGTCCCATACGATGACGTAATTTGCTCCTGTCAAAGGGACAGATCGAACGACTGACGCAGCAGAGCCTGACACCGCGGCTAACAAATAATGAAATTTCGTAATCGCAGGCAGTAATGTGTCCGAATGAACTAACGAGATAAATGTATCCCTAAACGATCGCCACTGTAATATGTCACCATTAAAGGACGGCAACTGAATTTTGGGTAAGTTATTGGTAGATCTAACTGGATGCTGAATTTCCTTTTTATTCAACCCTAAAGTCTCAAATGATGCGTTTATCGAATAATAATATTCATGAACAGTTCTTGTTACCGGCGCATGGGAATCTGCGAATTCTACCTCCCTATCAAGGTCAACAAGTTGCGTCAGTATGTCGTCTTGATCAATACGAAAATCTGACATAAAGATTTCAAGGTCCGATTTCCGAGCGATTATTATCGGTAATATATTCTTATCAGTCGTCGCCGTGCCTAACAAATTCTTCAAAACTAACATTTGTTCAACACAGGCGTCTCGCTTAATAATACTGCGTTTAAGCGACCTCTCCGCCCGCTCTTTATCACCTGCTGTTAACGGCATACTTAACGGACGTTAGAATTGTCACGGACAGTAGCGAACGGTAGCGATGAGGTATACTAATAAACAGGTAAAGTACTAATCTATGGGTGCAAATTGGTCAATTAGAAGCCAATTAAGCAAGTGGTTTACCAATTACTGTATTACATGAGTTATCGTGTTAACGATAATCTTAATTGCTTATACCATCGGGTACGCGGATATCTTTATATTATATAATGACCTGATAATGAATCACGACGACCACTCTACAAACGTTATCGCAGTTACGTAATTCACAAGCAACAGTCAACGAATCTTCAACAATATTTTTGTTTCATTGTAATAATATATACTGGACGTTCAGGAATTTGCATATTAGTGAACTTTGGATGGGTAAACTCGGTGACGTAATTACGTAATAGTTATTACGCGCTGATAATAAAATTGTACACCGGTATATACACCGCGCGCAAATGAACTTGTGAAAATCACTTCTAACAGAAACGCGTTTCAACCCTTAATTTCGTTGTAAGGAAGGGTTAGCGATTAGAACTATGGCAATAAGGAAACAGGGACAAATCCGGTTCGAAGGACCAAATGTTTGACGTACTATTCCGGGTTACCAACCACGGAGGATAGTTTCGTCGTGTGCGGATGAATTTTAATTTTACCAGATACTGTCCCTAACCAACA